CAGGCTCTTGGGCTCCCTTTGCACCCCCAAAGCAAGGAGGAGCCCAAGCACCTGCTCAGCCAGCCATGTGGAAATTCTGAGTCTACTCTGCCAAAGAAAACACCCCTATTCCCCCCACTCCAGCACTTACGCTTAGAGAGACCTCTGTCTTCCCACTTCGAGGCCTGCCGACCAGATGTGGGTCTGGGAGATGGCGGGACAGGCCTGGCGGGACAGGCTTGCGAGCCAGGGGGCCATTTAATCCACAATTAAGATCTACACACACCCCCATGTATCTGACAACACCCTTTTGCCAACTAACTGCACAACTAAAAAGCATTTTCAGAGGAAATGACACCCTCAGCTCATCTTCATGCCCTAAATGAGTAGACCCCAAAAGGGGGCCTCGCTTTGGAAAATCTTTGTTGTCACAATCTAATGCCTGGAGGCAGTCAGCGTCACTTCTGAGGTTTGGAATAGGGTGGGGTAGACAGCTATTCTAAGTATAGTACTCTGATGTGCTTACAACAATGCCAATGAAAGCAAGGCAATGAGACAGTGCTCACCCCCCAAGTGTGCCCAGGACAGGCAGTGGACTGCTGCTCCTAGTGTCAGAACATGGCTCTAACTCAGGCTCTACTCAGATGAGAGCAAGCCCCGAGTCCCTAAGCCCTCCCCTCACCCTCTTGGGTAATATTCATGAGGGTGGATGATGCTGTCTGTACAGCCTTGGGGAATGGACTGGGGTTCACATATTAATGCCCACACACCAGGGCTCCCTGCCTCTGCGTCCAGATGCTTGCTTGACATGTATTTTACCCCATCTAAATGTGCCTCCAGATATGCATTCCAGCTAAAAGGACCCCGTGAAAATCTCAGATGTTCATTGCCTTCAGCTGCCATTATCTAGGTGGCCAGTTGGGGGGCTGCCAACAGGTGCTCATCTTCCTTCCCCACCCCACATACACCATTGAACTTTAGCATAGCAATCATGGAATTATAAGCGGCCTCAGTGAAGATGGGAGGAGGGCTATCACTGAGCAAGGAATCTCAGGAGATCTGAAGCAGACGAGGTAGACAGTGGTATGATGACAGACAGTGTAGAAGGGGAGGCACAGCTCAAAGCAAAAGATAACACAAGAGAACGGGAGCTGACAGGGAGTAAGTCTGAAGACAGAACCCAACAGGGGTTCGGGGTTTCGAATACCAGGCCCATAAAAAAAAGAGGATGGTCGCAGGAGTCAATCACAAAGGGCCCATCTTACCCTCTAGACACTGCCTTAAGCCTAATTTAAGAGTTTAGAGAGAGGAAGCCCAGAGAGAGGAAGGATCACCTTTAAAGGCATTGACCCTTGTGAAAACGCAACAAGCAGTGGGAAAGGGCCTTGATAAACTGTTCTCGACACTGTATTTTTACCTTAATGGGGGGAGGGAGAGAGTCATTGTGGAGCAAAGTAGAGAAGGAGGTTCCAATATTGGAAACTCGATATACAAAATTAATTAATAAAACATGACAGCCACGTGCTAGACTCTACCCATGCAGGTGGCCCCCACTCTAAAGCAAGGCCAGGACAGGACCTGCTCTGGTCACCTGGCCATGCCACAGGGCCACTTTGTGCCAGGACGGGCAGGGGACATCGTCACTGGTGCTGGAACCCCAGCTCAGTCAACATCCCTTGGGCACCACATCTCGAGCCAGCAGACCATGCCCAAGTAGCCTAGGGCTTCCATGCCAACAAATCCCACTGTCTCCAGCCAATCAGCCTCCCTCATGGACTCTGATGGGAGAGACTTGGCCATTTTCCTCTCCAGAATGCCATCCCTATAGCACATTGGATCCCATGCACAGCAAGCTCCTGCTTTCCCCTAAAACTCTTTCATGGGATTTTTTTTTTCTTTGTAAGCAATATTTTAAGCTATGATTTTTCTATTTGAACACCCAAAGTCTGGGAACACTGGACTGCTGTAGTGACTAGGCGCCCACTTCATTCTCACAAGTGAAAAATACACCATATAAAATATAAATTCTTCTCCACAGTGTCAAGGGAAAATGATATGTTCAAAGCTATCTATGGAGGGATTTGTTAAACAAGAACCTGTCAGGTGTGGAGCAGTTTTGTGCGCACATGTGCCAGTTTTGTTTCTGTTCTTGGTTTTGTTTAGCTTTTTTTTTTTTTGGTAGAACTGGGGTGTAGGTCAGAGGTGCGGGGGGTGAGAGGACTCACCAGAGACAGAGTAGGGAGAGAACAGGCAGACTGACTAAAATACACTGCGGAGGGGAGCAGTGGGCGAGACAGGAGAGGTCTGCTGCACCCTCCCTCCACAGGGAGGTCAAACTCCCATGTAGGGGATCGAACTTGGGCCACAGCAGTGAAAGCACTGAGATTTAACCCCTTGACCACCAGGAAGGCCATGCTTGTGCTTTAATAGCAGTAGAACTTTCTTCCAACAGGCTCTTATATGGAAGTCCAATGTAGAGAACTAATTAACAAGAAGCTGCTGTGACAGAGCAGGCAATGGGAACTGAAGTGGCACTGCTCAGATCACCTTCTCTTTTTTGTGGCCCAAGTGACTTCCTACAATGACATTTCCAGGGAGCACAGTTAGCAACGCTGACTCAGAACTGAAGAGTCAACTGCATGGGAGAAATAAAGGAAATGCTTCTCTTTGTAAACTAACAAACATGAACAGTTACGCTCACCTGTATACTTGTAAACACTGCTCAGTAAAATCCTGTCTTCTGTAGTCTCTGGAAGTTTTCCTTGTGTTAGTCACTTTCACAATTAAAAGGTTTGAGACCAAAGTAGCACAGGTGCCAGGAGAGAGCCAGTTCCTTAAGTCCAGAAGTGGGCAAGGCAGAGGCCCTGGGTAGCTGCTCTAGTCTGGGGTTGCCATGAAGGTGACCCTGTGAGTATCACAAAGAAAGGTTCAAAGAAAATGCCTCACCCCAAGAGAGCTCAGCACTCCTTCATCTGCCAGAGCCATCCTCCTTTAACGTCTTTCCCCTCCTAGTCATGAGAAATGTGAGAGAAGTTTATTAGTCTTGATATAACCAAGCACTGTCATGTAACTATACTAAGAAGACAAAGTTTAACAGTGTGAAAGTGTAAGAGAGCTAAAAATTTACCAAACGCATGTCTAAAACAGATGAGTCAACAGATAGCAGGCTGGATATACGTATTACTTAGGAATGTGGAGGATCGTATGAGCCAAGACAGATCAAGTCATTTTACATTTTTCTCTAGGAAAGCGATAATGCAGATAGCCAAGGGGCTGGGACAGACGAGACGCCTGCATTTTAATAGCATGTTAACATTGTTGGCTTTTCAAATCCAGCACCAGAATTTCCTTAATTTGTAAAAATGGTGACACAAAAACAGTAAGACGGACCCTCCTTAATCATCCTTTCTGCTTTACATACTCCAAGTAAGGAGTTCAGACTAAGAAAGTAGTTAGGCAAAATTTGTGGAGTCATGCAACTTGGGACATACAAATGGCAGACACCTACATTCTGACTCCAAAAATCTGAGGTCCAACCTTAGTATTGGTACTCCAAACTTTGTGACTTTGGGCAAGGTGCTTAACCTCTCTGAACCTCTACCCCAGAAGGGCAGGTCTCTGGACCCCAGATAATCAGTAAGAAGACTAAGTTCTGTATATCCTAACCCAGTGGTGAAACAACCTCATGGTGAGGCTGCAAGAGGTGGGGAGCTAAGATGTCTTGACAAAGTGAAAGACTGGGCCCTCAGAGAGTTCTTGTCCATTAACAGCCATTGAACCTTAAGCACAATTCTCCAGGCTTGAGCTGAAATGTCCTCCTCCTCTCCACACTGTTTCCAAGTCCTCTGAGGTCATGGAGTACATTTTAAGGTTCTGTGGACTCAAGAGAGAGATGAGTGTCCCAGGGTCAGTCTGCATTCCTGAGTTCACCTAGGCCACAAATCAATCTATCATGGCATAAGCCCTCATAAACAAAGTCTCTCAACTCTTGCCAATGGAAAAAAAAATAATCTCCAACTCACTTAGCATTAGAGTCAAACCTTAGGCCCAAAAGAGAAACCTCCAGCCTTTTCCTCAGGGCAGGCTCTAGTTCACCTCCTCCTCAAGCTTTCTCACAGGCCTGGTCACAGCTGCCACGTTACGACAAATAAGTCCAGTTTTTCCAGAAGCCAGCCCCGCATGGGGAAATTTTTTGCAGGCTCTGAACATTTCAAAAAGACCACAGGTCTTGCCCACAACCCAGGGGCTTGCTGCCAATAGCCTGACCATCAAGAGTCCCTTTACCCCACGCCTTTCCCTGGAATCAGTCTGCACTGGCTTGCGAGTGGGGGAGATCTGGCAGGTCCATCTTTCCCTGGAATTTTCAAGCCCCTACATATCCTTGTGACTAAAGAGATACACGTGCCTTCAGAGCGCACCATCCTTGCTGGTCCATCACGATGTGAAGAGAGCAGAAGATGCCGGGTGAAGGGATCCTGAGCAGAAAGAACCAAAAACAACTCGTGATCAGGCACAAGGCATTCTCACCAGTATTAGGGTACAACGGCATCTTTGGTCTGAAATCTTTTCAGAGGTTCCAGAGAAAACAGACTGCTCTCTGCAAAGACGCTGCAAGAAGGTGAACACACAGACTGGCAGATTCAATCCCCCCAAAGTAAAGTTTATTCTTTGGCACTTCATAACTGGCAAGGGCTAATCCTGTTGATTCATACACTGTTAAGTTCATAAACTACATCTGGGTCGGAGAAAACCTCCTAGGCGTCAGCTCTGATTCCATGAACAAAAAATAAGGGACCAAGAAGGAAAGACAGCAGAGGGAGGGAGGATTAAGAGGAGTAATTAGCCAGTGATTAAATGTCATTTTTCCTTGAGTCAAGTGATTCTCATTTTATTCAAGAGTCCTGGTAATGATTTGTTTTGTTTTGTTTTGTTTTGGGGAATTCTTGTTTTGTCCAATGAATAACTCTCAGTCATCTTCTTTTAAAAGTATTGTGCCACTTCTAAGTAATAATTTTCAAAACTCAGGTTGAGACCACCAACTGCTGCTGGCTGGGGCTTTCTGAATCACCTACAGAAAGATGGCTGCTCTGCCGGGAGTCTCTCTGGGAAACTGGCCTGTAGATCCTGTGCCCCAGTGGATCCGTTTCCTCAAAGACATATCCGGGGGGCTCTGGGTATGAAGCCAGGCACCTGCTCATTTCCTTAGGGGTAAAGCTGATGGTGTACGTGGTCTTGCCCTCCACCGGGACATTCCCTCGAGGGCTAGACCAGAGTGGCTTACAGCTTTTGGTGCTGATGGGAGGGTGGGGCACATAGTGGGCCCGCATGGTGGTCAGGCAGTCCAGGGGTTCGCTGGGGAAGTTCAGCTGAGGAACAGGCTTGACCGGCTCCATGCGCTTGCTGGACCACTGCTTGTAGTCATCCTTGGTGGTGGTGGAGCTTTCAAAGCGACCACTCTTCTTGACCGGGAGCACTGGCCGGCAGGACTTAGCAGGAGCACCTTTAGGGTAAGTGTAATGGGCCTGCACTGTGGTCAGAAAGTCCATCTTTTCCTCAGGAGGGACATAGGAGACAGGAGCTTTGGAATACATCTGGGGTGTTGGCCAAGCTTGGTACTTATCTCGAAACTCAGTGGTGTTAGAGAAAGGTGTGTCTAGCCCACAGACCCTGCCTGGAGGTCTCAAGCTCTTGGCTGGCTCCCCTCTCAGGCCCCGGTAGGAATCTTTGTGTGTGGTGAGGCTTTCAAAGGGGATTTCACAGGGTCTGAACTTATCTGGTTCGTGAACAAAGCGCTTTTCCATAGGGTGGGCCACGTAGCTCATCTTGTAGTTAGTCAGATCCTCAAGAGGGATGTTACAGGCTCTGGGCTTAGCCAGAGGCTTAAAGCTTGGGGTGTTCACCAGCCCCTTCACAGAGTAGTCATCCTGGTGCGTGGTTCGATTCTCAAATCTGGTTGATGGTGGCCGGAACTGCTGTTCTGGACGAAGCAGTTCTCGTCTCGGTTGATTCCAGGGTAAATAATCAGCTGCAAACAAAGCAAAAGTGGTAATTACTAATAAATCAAGTGGCTTGACTACACATATTCCAAAAGGCCTCAAAGCCATAGCCAGTGTCCAGTGAGATGTTCCTTGAGACAAAGAAAAACAAAGAATGACCTTGCTACCACCTCCACATGAGTCAGCTTGATGGTCTGTGGGTTACTATGCAGAAGAGAGAAATGTCCAGCAGTCTTGTCACACCCACCATGAGGCACACAGGGATTTTAGAGGGCCATAGAGGAGTTCAGGCAATCAATTCCAGCAAATGAGTTCAACCACTGGCCTACTGTAACCCAAGAACAGTTTTCCCTTCCTCAGTGGGGCAGTGTTCTGAGTCAGCAGAGGGTGGCCAGGTAGAAGCATGTGATGCAGTAAAGAGACTCAGCCCACCATCACTGGGCCACCAGCCAGACCAACGCAGCCTCTGTGGTCAGCCCTGAGGTGACCAAAATGCTGTCGTACACACCACACCTCTGATCCCTACAAGTCAAATCTGCTGCTCTAAGAAAATAAGGGTATTATATTGGCTGGTGAAGAAAGAACTACTGCCTTTTTTATAGAGCTTATTAAATGATAGTATTCTAAATGCTTTTTTTCTATTAAATCTTTTCATTTTCAGACAGCCCTATTAAGGGGTGTACTATCAAGATGTCCATTTTCAAGTATAGAAGGACAGAAAAATTTGGGAACTTGCCCCAAGAGCACTTGGCAGAAATAGAATAGCCAAGATGCAAATTCAAAACTAGAATCCATGCTCTGATCCCTTTACTATCCAGTTCTACCACTGACCTCATGCCAGTAAATAGTGCTCAGGGCTTTCCATAAACAATCTCGTTCCTTTGTCACAATAATCCTTTATAATGAATATGATGTCTCCATCCCAAACACACAAAAAAGCCAGTGCTCAGAGAGGCTAAGAAACTTACCCAACAGTCACAAGGCTAGAGAGTTAGAAGTTGGAATTTAAATCACCTCGTTGATTCCAAAGCTATGTTGTTCTGACAAGGCTTTTTTTCCCTTAAAGGTTTTTTTATTTATTTATGCATACAGAACTGGGGTACAGGCCAGAGGTGCAGGGGTGGTTAGGCGATTCCTCAGAGACAGAGTGGGGAGCAGAACAGGCAGATCGACAAAGTACACTGTTAAGGGGAGCAGCAGGCGAGACAGGAGAGGTCTGCTGCACCATGCGGGTCACCTCCAGGGTGGGGATCGAACTAGCAACAAAGTGGCCACAGACAGCTTTGTAGTGCTGTGCCTTAACCCGCTGCACCACCAGGGAAGGCCTTTAAAAAAAAGAGAGAGAAAAGATTAAAGAAAAAGATACACTAGGGATGGCTGTCTCAGGAGAAACCTCTGCTGTAGACTGGTATGGCCAGGATAAGGGGAGGCCTACACCCAAAGGCCATCTGCACTAGAGGTGTCCCCAATGCACCTTGAGGAGCAGCTGTTGATCTCAGACAGTATTGCAGGGGCTTTCAAACTAACTTCACTGAATAGATTCTCGGAGCAGCTTTGAGTAAAATGGTATCACAAGTAGCGCCATTCAACCTCTTCAACTCTGATGCTTTATTTTTCATAATCCTTAGCTCATACCCAAGTTCAATGTTGCCCCCATTGTGAATATCAATCACCAGAACTAAAGGAGTCAATATGGAGCCCTAGTAAACCTTCTGAATGCGCAAAGGATTCTTTTGCTTACAGCTTAACAATTGAACAAAAATAGCTTAACTTTTAAGATCCTACAAACTTTTCCAAAGTGAAGTGCCATTTTAAATTCCCACCAGCAATGTATGACAGTTCTCATATTTCTATGTATTCATTTGCTACCTTTTTTTTTTTAGATTACAGACATATCAGTAGGTGTTTAATGGTATCTCACTATAGTTTAATTGACATTTCCCTGAAAATTAATAAGCATTCTGCAAGTGCTTATTATTTTATGTGTTTAGGTAAAACATCTATTCATAAATTTTGTCTTTTTTTTAAAGTTATTAGTATTTTCATTGGGTTTTAAGAATGGTGTGCATTTTCTACACACAAGTCATACCAGAAATAGGATTATTTTTTAAAGCCTGCTGGGATTTTGACAGGCATAACATTAAATCTACAGATCAATTTGGAATGCCATTGTAACAAAGCAAAATCTTCTAGTTCATAAACATGGATTACCTTATCTGTTTAGATAGTATTTTTCTCAGCACTGGTTTGGTGTTTTTAATGTACAAGTTTCACACTTGTTCTTAAAATTTATCTCAAGTATCTTTATTCACTTTGAGACTACTGTGAAAAACTAAATTGTTTTTAGATTGTTAATATTAATCAGTAGAAATGCATTTTATTTTTATATATTGCTCTTCAATAATGACACCTTGCAGAAATTATTAATCCTAGTAGTTTTTTTTTTTTTTCATGAATTCCTTGGGATAATCTACACACAGAATTATATTGTCTGAAAAAATTGCTTAGCATCTCCCTTCCTAATCTACATGTACTTACTTTTTTTTCCTGCATTATTGCACCTGCTGTACCAATACAATGCTGAATGGAAGTGGCGAGCTCTGACATCCTAGGCAGGTCCCCAATTTTGGGAGTAGAAGCATCCAATCTTTCCATGTTAAGTATGATGTTAGCTATAGTGGGGTTTAGGTGCTCTTTATCAAGCTAAGACATTTCCTTCTATTCATAGCTAATACAATATTCAGAGAAAAGTTGCTAACTTTCTATATGTATCAGAACTTGTCAAGTGTGTTCTCCATGTCTATCAATCATGTAGTTTTGCCCAACATACACTGCTGACAAGAGACTCACTTAAGCTATAAAGGCAAACAAATTTAAAAGTGAAAGGTTATCAACTGTAGTCTTAGCTAATTCAAAAATTTTAAATGGCAAGAGCAGCTATGTTTATATCAAATAAACATGGACTTAGCTATAAAAGACAAAGATGGACATTATATACTGACAATGGGAGCAATACAAAGGGAAAGGAAAATATCACAATTATCAATATATGTGCACCCAACATAGCAGCACCAAAATATATAGCACAAATATTAATAGACCTAAAGAGAAAGTGACCACAACACAGTTAACTCTAGGGAACTGTAATGCCCCTCTTACGTAAACAGATCATCCACCCAGCTAGAGAAGCACCAAAGAAACAAAAGCTTTAAATGACAAAAATTAGGTGAGATTAACTTAACAGATATTCATAAATCATTCCAACACCACAATATAGAAAGTGAATTGCTGTTTACTTCCTTGTATGGATTTGTTTTACCATTAAAAATTATTTCTTTCCCGGCCCTCCCTGGTGGCGCATCGGGTTAAAGCACAGCACTGAGAATCTAAAGCCGCTTCCGCATGAGTTCGATTCCCGCCTGCCCCGGAGGTGACCACATGGCCTGGCAGACCTCTCCTTACCCGCCCGCTGCTCCCCTCAGCAGTGTACTTCGTCGATCTGCCTGTTCTGTTCCCCACTCTGTCTCTGGTGAAGCCTCTCACCGCCCCTGAGCCTCTGGCCTGTACCCCAGTTCTGTATGCACAAATAAATCTTAAAAAAAAAAATTATTTCTTTCCCGGCCCTCCCTGGTGGCGCATCGGGTTAAAGCACAGCACTGAGAATCTAAAGCCGCTTCCGCATGAGTTCGATTCCCGCCTGCCCCGGAGGTGACCACATGGCCTGGCAGACCTCTCCTTACCCGCCCGCTGCTCCCCTCAGCAGTGTACTTCGTCGATCTGCCTGTTCTGTTCCCCACTCTGTCTCTGGTGAAGCCTCTCACCGCCCCTGAGCCTCTGGCCTGTACCCCAGTTCTGTATGCACAAATAAATCTTAAAAAAAAAAATTATTTCTTTCCCGGCCCTCCCTGGTGGCGCATCGGGTTAAAGCACAGCACTGAGAATCTAAAGCCGCTTCCGCATGAGTTCGATTCCCGCCTGCCCCGGAGGTGACCACATGGCGTGGCAGACCTCTCCTTACCCGCCCGCTGCTCCCCTCAGCAGTGTACTTCGTCGATCTGCCTGTTCTGTTCCCCACTCTGTCTCTGGTGAAGCCTCTCACCACCCCCATCTCTGGCCTGTACCCCAGCTCCTTATGAATAAATAAATCTTTAAAAAAAATTTCTTTCCATCCTGAGAAACTTACTTTAGCATTCATATACGGGTAGTTCAGATAGCTACACATTTACAGCCTTTCTCTGGTATGTCTTTTATCATTTCTGAAGCATAAGTTCTTACTAGTTACAGAATTTCTATATAACAGGCTTTGAATATGTTAACCCACCACTTTCAGTTTTCTATTATTTGATGAAAACATTGTTTCCTTGCTGTAATGTTTTTTCTTTTCCAAATATTTGGAAATATTTTTGTTGCTTTCAACAGCTTGATTATTGTGTAATTATATGTGGATCTCTTTGCAGTTAACATATTTGAATTATATTTGTTGGATATGTAGATTTACATTTTTCATGAAATTTGGTGTAGTTTTTTTCTTCCCCTTTTTTTTTTATAAGTTTTTTTTTTATGATTTATTTATTTATTCATACAGAACTGGGATACAGGCCAGAGATGTGGAGGGTTCACCAGAGGCAGAGTGGGGAGCAGAACAGACAGACCGATTAAGTACACTGCTGAGCTGAGCAGTGGACGGGTCAGGAGAGGTCGGCTGCGCCATGTGGTCACCTCCGGGGCAGGCGGGAATCAAACTCATGCGGAAGTGGTTTTTAGCTTCTTAGCGCTGTGCTTTAACCCGCTACGCCACCAGGGAGGGCCCCCTTTCTTCTTTTTAATGAGATCTCACAAGTCTGATTTTCTATCCTCTTCTTTTTCATTTTTCCTATCCTTTAGGTTGAATAATTTTTGATAAATCTCCTTTTCACTGGATCTTCTACCCACAAATCTGTGAGCCTCTCTACTAATTTTTTATTTTGGTTATTGTCCTTTTGAATGTATAGTTTCCATATAATTCTTTAAAACTTTCCTTTATTAGCAGTCTAGTGGGAAATTGTTGTCATGTTTTCCTTTATTTCTTTAAAGAGCTTTCTGAGGTTCTTTGGACATTTTATAATAATTCCTTTGAAATATTTGTCTGCTGAGTCTAACATCTGGGTCCCTTCAAAAATAGTTTCTATTAACTATTTTTTTCCTACTCATGGATAACACTTCCCTATTTCTGCTCAAGCCTCATAATTTTTTATTAAAAACTCAACATTTTATAGAATATGCTACAGCAACTCTGGACTCTGATCCTTTTCCCACAGATACACTGGAATGTGTTGCTGCTTGTTGAATGACTTGCCTGCATGAATTCTATAGCGATGCCTATTCAGAGTGTGACACTGATAATTTTCCAATTATTGTTATGTTTCAGTCTAAAGTCCTAAGAGTCACCTATGGAAGCATAATTCAATAACAAGGCAATGATCAATCAGAAACAATGCATAAGCACCATAATCCAGGAAGCTTTAATCTTTTGTTAATGAGTGTATATACTGGTGAACATCATCAAAGATCAGGCTCTTCTTGTCTGCTGGGCTTTCCCATGTCTCCTCTGCACATACTTAGGTGTCATATTCAGGCAAGGAAGACAAGTCACTATCTAGAACTTATCTCCGATCTCTTTCGATCTTCTATATTGCTTTGTCTACATGCCCATATGCACAGTCTTCTACCCCACCACTCGCACCAATGAGCTTATCCAGACCCACTGTATCTGGCATATTTTCTGAATCTCCTTATTAAATTTCTGACTGGTTTACTGGTATTTTGCTTGCCTTAGCTACTACTTCAGTTCCAAGCAAACTACACCTTGTTTCACCTTATTTTTTGCCACTGAGATCACAGGTTTTGTTTGGGACTTTTTTCTTTTATTGAAACCCCTGGGTACACACTCTACTTCAAATCAAGTCAGCCCCCACTGGGAGCAAACTGCTTGCTTTAGAAAAATGTATCCTGGCCTGGCAGAGATCTCACACGGACAGATCCGGAGCAGGAAATAAGGCGACAGAAGCAGTCTCAAGAAAAGACATCACACACCCTCTCTGTTCATAACCAAAGTTTAGTAGTTTCACTTCAATAAATGCTTCTCAATTTGTTGTGTGCATATGATTTCTAGAACTGCGAAATGATTGATTTTTACTTTATTGTCCAGTATTGTTATTGCTTCGGGGGAGGGTATTTCCCAATCTCCTCTCTACCACTCCGGATGTCCTGACATCCCCACCCCCAGGCATACTCATAAGTTTATTTTAGGCTAATAATACTACAAACTACTCATTTTAAATTGGCTTCATTTTAATTGAAAATCTAATCTTTCCCCAAGAGCCATTAATGGCTCTATCAGCATCTTGAAAGCATTACAGGGTCTTAGAGGGAACCATCTTGCTGAATATAAACCACATGTTCCCCCCTACACTCCCCCAGACTTCAGGCCTCACTGAAATGAGGCATCTACCTGCAGAAGCCTCCACGCTGCCTCAAGGTGTTTGGGGGTGGGTAGTACAGGGCTTTTCTGGTCATCTTCTATGATGGATGAAGTGTTAAGAAAACAGGTTCCTAAGCTGAAAGTTGCCTCCTGTGATTTCTGATACCCAACAATACAGTTGAAACCACATTATTATCCAAAGTCCTAACTTCCTCCACCAGGCATATATTACAAAAAAACTCCACAAGACCCTGAAAACCTCTGAATTCCACATGACTAAGTTATTCACGTGTCTGAAAAGTCATCAGTAAAAACCCTTCAGGGTCAGGGTGTCATGTGGGTAATTGGCAATAACTTCTTTAAAAGGAATTCATTCAATAATGTCTTTTAAAAAATAAAATTTAGCTAAATCTACAACTGAACATCAAGTAATTACACCCTCAATCTTTCCAATTGCACAGTGTTTTGAAAATGTCAAAATTACAACCAAATGCTGCTGGAACATATTTTACTGGTGGTTTTCTGGATCCAAGTAAAGGTGCTGGCCATAAGAACAGAAAGGAAAAAACTTGCTTACTTTTCCCGTGGAATCATAGTAAGTACAGCACATAAACAGATAGCTCCCACTGAAATATGCATATTGAAGTGACCGTGGTCTTTGATTTCACCCCTTCCCATCCCCTGGTCCCTACTTTGGAAGGAGACTCGATGTATAGCCATAAAACTATGAAGGGTACCATGGAAAAACACAATGCGGCAAATGTCCGCAAATGACAAGTCTTCAAGGCGTGATATACCAAGAGATAAGGCAAGAGTGTAGTCCCTCACAAATGTATGAGGTTGCTCGGGACTAGCCCAGCAGAAGAGTAAATGCCATGCAAGCTTCCACAAGCTTCACGCTTGTGCTACTTTGGCTAGGGTTTTGCTAGGCAGAAACAACAGACTAATAAGCTGGCTGGGGATTGGTATAGCTCTCAGGCTAAAGAGCATCCCCTGAAGCCTTTATCAACAAGGGTCCAAAAGTACTCACTCCCTTATTCCTTTCACAAAGCACACTTCCATTGTGCCATCCTTGCAACTATATACACTGGGTCCTCAAGACCCGTTTTTTGGAAACCATTGTATCATGGGGTAGTAATGGAACAAATAAACCACTTAAATTCATACATTATGCTTAAGTTTTGTTCCCAAAACTATGAAGACAAATTGGTGGCAAAAATGGCACCTAACGGAAACTACTAGCTACAAATATGTTTCGTTTGGCCACAAATAGACTTGATTGGTTTTAAATCAGAATTTCAGAGGGAAAATATAAAGTCAACCTCAAGCATGTACAGAGCTAAAACCCCTCCCCCTCTCCTGCCTAAGATTATCTGGTTCTGAGCAATCCTGTTGATATCTGACTAGTATTTGTTCCCCAATTTTGAATAAGAAGTTAAAGGTGCCAGAATTTTTTTTTCCAAAGCAGAATAAAATTGGGTTTTCTCAATTTAATATTATCAGTAGGAAAAAAATCCACCATACTTCATTTTGGTCATGCAACTGTTCTCTGGTTTGCAAAGGACAATTTGAGATGTCACTATTTGGAAAGGGGAAGACATGAAGAGCTTGAGGTGGTAAAGATCAAATCATAGGTATCAGATTGTGTGCTTATTTGGAGGGGTTAGTATTTTGCCAGAAAGAATAGGGAAAGTTTTTCTTTAATAACCTCACTGTGCTACTCTATCCTTGCCAATTCAAAAGTTAAGCAAGGAGCTTTTCTCATTCCCAGAACCCCTCCTTCTTACCTAAGGGGTGGGGATAACTTAACTGAGCAAGCAGTTGCTCTGAAAAAGCAAATACGTGTAGAGTTATAACTCCAGGGACCCATCAGAAGATGGAGGAAAAGAGATTTTATAGCTTAATGTGCCCTAACAGAGATCCTGCCCCCTCCTCATCAGAGGTAAAGGCTCTCTCCCTCTTGTCTGAGGGCTCAGTGTTTGTGGTGCACCATATCTTCTCTTAACACAAACAATGGATGAAAGAAAAGAGAAGAATAAAGTCTATGAAGTGGAGAGTGCTACCCGACCATGCACCAGGCTGTGCTGATGCCTTTGCAAAGAACCTACTGACATGCTTGCCTTGTCAATGGTAACTGGTAAGAAGAATACAGGCTCCTAATCTATCAAGTTTACAATCTGGCCTAGGAGAAATATGTTAAGTAAACAAAAAGTTGTGCAATAAATTACAAAATGATGGAGTAGAGAGCACTCAGAGAATCTCACAGGGAGTGTCTTGTCTGGCATGGAGGAAGGTCAGGAGAGGTCCCTACGGCCATGCTATTTCCTTTCCCCACTGAAGGATGCGTGTTAAGACAGAAGCGGGTGGAGGGACGGAGACAGGAGGTTCTATTAAAAAAAAATAAAGGAATGTTGAGAAGTAGGAAAGAAATGGAGGGAACTGAAAGATGTCTCTGTGGCCGAAACACAGTTCAGAGAAAAGGAGAGAAAAGGCCAAGCATGAGAGGAATTGGCAAAGGTTTGAGGTTTTATTCTAAAAACCATAATAATTGAGGAGTTTTCCAGCAAGAAAAGGTCCAATTGGACTGCCGTTTTTAAAAGACCTCCCTGATTCCTTTCTGTGGAAACTGTATGAGATGACAAGATTCAGATATAGTCATGGAGAAGGCAGGAGTAGGGTTTGCTCAGCGAAGCAACAAAAGGACAAAATCAAATGGGGAATAAAAAGCTGTAGTGTGACGTGGGGCAGGCTACGTGAAGCACAGACATGGGAGAGGTCGATAATGAAAGAGAGTGGAAGCATCTTTGAACTTGGAAATCTCAGTGCTGCCACAGACCGTGATGGCAGAAATAACTAAGAAAGCAAATGTGGGATCCATCCCTAGCAGCTATGGCCTATACCCCAGTTCTTCTAAGCATAAATAAATCTTTTTTAAAAAAGGCATTGCTTCCATAACACAAGTCATAGATAATGCATAATGAGTACTCATACGAAGAGCACTGAACTTCAAATTTCATAACACTTTCACATGTCCTAAAATAATAGTCTTCTTTTGTTTGACATTTTCTGAATCACTAATTTTTTTTTTTTTAGAGATTTATTTTTGCTTACAGAACTGGGGTACAGGCAGAGTGTGGTGAGTGAAAGGACTCAGCAAAGACAGAGTGGGGAGCAGAACAGGCAGACTGACAGAGTACACTGCTGAGGGGAGCAGTGGGCAGGTCAGGAGAGGGCTGCGGCACCATGTGGGTCAGCTCCCTGGCCGGGGATCAAACTCGTGCTAGTGGCTTCAGAGAGCTTCATAGTGTGATGCTTTAACCCGCTGCGCCACCAGGGAGAGCCCTGAATCACTAATTTTAAAACCATTCTTAGCTCTCCAACTCCACAAAACAGGCACAGGCCAGCTTTGCCAACACACTGTGGTGCACCCTGCCCAGCTGAGCCAGGAAGCCCCGGCAGCGCAACACCTGTCCTGTCTCCAGTGCAGCCTGTGCTGCCCCTCAATTTCTCTCCCACCTTTGTAAGTAGGCAGACACTCCATCTTGTCACTGCATGGGTATTTACTGTCCCGAGGTTTGACAGGGTCCACGCGACAGAGAGGGTAGGGGTTGTAATCTTGTTTGTACGTAGTGAGTAGATCCATATTCTCTTCACTTGGGACAAACGGCTCCGGCTGGTAGAGCTTCACTGGTAGCACTTTGTGAGGTCCAAAATCTCTCCTGTAAGGAAAGTAAGCACATGCCGTTGGGGCCGTTGGCTCACAGTAAGACTCATGGCTTTCATTCAAATCTGTTCTTACAAATGTTTGCTGAGAAGCCACCTTCTGTGTCCACTAACCGCTCTCCCTCCTGTGTGCCACTTTTAAGAAAAGTTCCACTATTCCCTCTCAGCCCAGTTGGACACCTGGATGCCATCCTAGGGCCACCCCTCACAGCTCTAAAAGAGACTCACAAAGGCATTCGTTTACCTCACTGGTTTTTCTTTCCTGCCATTTATACTCAATTCCCACAGTGTGACCAAAACAATCTCTTAGAATGAAAATTGGATTATTTGATTCCCCGGACTAAAACTCTCTGATTAAGTCCAACTTCCTGTTATAGTATAGAATATAAACTTTCCTGGGCATGGCACTGCCTTACACTCAACCTCATCCTCCTATCCCCTTCCAACCACACAAGACCCCGAGACAGTGTCTCTGTTGTGTCCGCTTTCTCCACCTCCCTTCTCCTCAACTCTTTCACTATGGAACTGACTTCTATTTTCCAGGTACCACCACCATCATCTCTGTCCTCACAATAGCTTTTCCTGCTAACGTTATCACCTTCCCCTACTTGCCTTAACAGAAAACCCAGGACAGAGTAATGCAATAAGTGGAGACAATGAGTCTCATTTCTATGCTATCTGGCATCAGATATTTCAGGGAGAGAGAAAAAAAAGCACGCTAGCTTTGGTGATACAGTAAGCACTGCCTTCCCCAAACATCCCCCAGTTATAAAAAAAAAAGTCAAGATGCTAACTGTGCCATTGCCAGGAATCACCCATGCAGCATCAGAGCTGAGCTGGGGCTTCTGAGGCCCACCAGGGGAGTCTCGGCTTCCTACTGCTCAAAGCAAACATTTCCCCCCAAGGACAAGCCGCTTTACACAACAGCCTGTTTTTGCCTGGAACCCATTTATCCAACTGGACAAGGGGAAGGTAGCTTTTCCCTGATGGTGCATGCCAAAATAGGCTCACCAAGAGGAAGGGAAGGTTTCCGGACAGGAAAACATCAGGTCCACACACCAATAAAACCCACTTTCCGGCAGAAATCTGTAGCAGCATTACTGAGCCATGCTTGACTAGCAAAGGTAACATGCTCCACTGTAACCTGTCTTGCATGAATTATGCACATGGTTGTCAATAAGCCCAAGCCGGGCCCTGAAAACACTTGGTGGGACAGGAGGAGGGAGTTAGGAAGCAGGAGAAGTCGTCTCTCTAGGGCTCAAAGGGGGAAATGGGAGATGCTTCAGTTGAACTCCCAATAACACCCTCTGGGTCGATTTAAAAATAACTCCCAGCAGCAGTTATAGAGCCTTCAGCCAGGGCTCCTTCCCAGGCACCGCATGTCGCCAACAGCAAAGGAAGCTGAGTGACCCGTGGCCTTGCAAAGCGGACTATGTAAATCAGGTGTTATGGAGGGAACAGGCTACACAAGAACCCAGGGGCAGTGCCACACTTCTGCCCTACTTAGCATACAAGTTCTCATACTGTGTCTGCTAAATACGGACTGAGCAAAAGGCCCTGTGCTACAGACAGACAAAAAGGATATGCCAAGAAAATCCTGTCTGAAAACCAGTTCACTGAAAAGTGACTTTTGTCATATTTGGATACTAGGGAATGTGCCCAAGAGACTGAGTTCTTTTCACTTGCAAAAAGGTACAGTGAGGTTTGGGGCAACCAAAGAGCACAGATACCTCACATGCACACACATTCACTGATGACTACCCAGACAGCTCTCCTTACTTCCATGAAGAAGTATCAGGAGAAATCCAGGCAAGGGAAGAGGGGCGACTCTGAAGGCCCAAACCACCCCAAGGAGCCCTCCCAAGCCAAGAGCAACCAGCAGGGCCTTCCGATTATGGGCCTGCCACTCTCTGGCACCCTGCACACAGGCCAAGGCATCCTCTTCTGTTCTTACAACTGCTGAGGCAACCAGTGTCTCCCACGGATGCTTGAGAGCCTTCCTTCAAGGGCTGCCAAGCTCTCTGAAGGCTAAAATACATTTTATGGCCTCTATCTCCTGTGTTTCTACAGAAAAAGAAAAGATAAATGGCCACAACCAAGCTCACTAAGGCATGGACTATCCTGAAATGGTTAGTCAAACAAAGACAAAAGCTGATGCAGCAAAATCATTGCTCAACTGTGTTTAGGGAACAATTATTGTTCGCGGAATCTCCTTCTCCAGTACAAAATTTAAGTTTCTTTAGGCAAATACATCTATGCTTACTAGAACTTGAAGTAAACAATCTTGGGGTTAAGGAGGATGATCCACTTCTGAAGAAAAAATTTTAAATTGAAAGCTTGATTCAATTGACCCCCCAACCCCATATTTACTGTGCTTAAGAGTAAATTTAATGAAAATTTATGTGTTTCCTCATGTTTTTATGTTGAGAATTCATTGAAACCTACCAACCGCAACATAAGTGTTTGGCCCCAGTCTCTCACAATCTTATGGACCTTAAGTTCAGGGAAAACAAAAATCTTTATTTTATCCTTCCCAGAAATTGCTCAAAGTTAATAGCTTTTATTTTTTAAGAACATTTCCCTGTCTTCCTGTGGTATATTTCCTAGTCCCTATGTCCATTGTGACTATGAGCCAAGAAAAGTAATGGTCAAAGATGTTAAGTTTCTTTTAGGTAAGTAGCTATAAAAATTAAGTAGTATGGAAGGCCAAGAGTTAAACTCAGAGTTAAGTAAAGGTTAAAGTGGTCCTGCTGGGGAAGTCATAACAACTTGGCTTCCAATCATTAGGCAAAGCTAAAGAAAGGTGTTTGACAAGAAACCCCTGACAAAAGAGAAGAAGAAATAACAGCTGACTAGGGTCATGAGGCTGGAAGTAGGAAAAGAGGGAGATTTTTCACCCTGGTAAAGGACCATGTAATACTTTACCCCCATTTTTTTTTTAAGACTTATTTGTACACACAGAACTGGGGTACAGGCCAGAGGCTCAGGGGTGGTGAGAGGCTTCACCAGAGACAGAGCGGGGAGCAGAATAGGCAGATCAAAGAAGTACACCGATGAGGGGAACAGCAGGGAGGTCAGGAGCAGTCTGCTGTGTCATGTGGTCACCTCCCGGGGCAGGCGGGAATCGAACTTATGTGGAAGTGGCTTTAGCTTCTTAATGCTGTGCTTTAACCCTCTGCGCCACCAGGGAGGGCCTACCCCTATTTTTAATATTTATCTATATAAACTTCAGAATTCATTAGTGGCCCAATTAATCACAGTAAGCAGAATCCATTTCAGAGGGTTCCTCCTCTTGCCCAAATTCAATCCCTACCCCAACCTAAAATTCTTTCCCCACTCCTCCCCCCAGGCTCCTCCCCCTCAGGAACTCTGTCTACAGACCATCTTCTATTCCCATCTTCTATTTGGTGATTTAACCCCTTCCTCCCCAGGGCTCCTTGCTGTCAGTGTTTACACATGCTCCAGTCATACCCAACTTTAAAGTGACCAGCTCACTGGAGCCCACTCCCCCCCTTTTCTCTCAACTAGAAAAGTGTTGTCTACAGATACAGACTTGCCTTCCTCGCACCACCACCCCCACCAATGCTCAACCTGCCCATAAAATCTGTTTCTACTCACTCCTTGCCCACTTGTTGGTTTTTATTGATACTGTCTCCCTTGATTCTGTGATGTCCCTCCTCCTGAGTTTTCCTAGTGCTCAATTTCCTCTATGGGGTTTTCTCTGTGTCAATTCACTTGATTACTTCACACATCATTCTAAAAAAATTTCCCAACATTAGAAGGCACCCTTCTAAGGAAACCTTCATCCCGGCTGGCTGAGAGAGATCCTTAGGCTGATTCACAAGACTCAGTTCATGCCCCCAATCTAAGACAGGATACACTGATCCCTCCTTCTCTTCGCAGTGACAGACTAGCCCTTCCAGAAGTCCAGCCACACACACAGAGTCTGTCTCCACCCTCTACTCTTACAACTCCCCAACCCTACCAAAGCTGATGCTAACACAATTTAATATAAACTCTGGACAAAATAAACTACAAATTATTCAAAATACACTGCAAAAAATAAGTATAATTAAGCCTTAAAGAGCAACAAAGATTAGCAGGTTCTGAAACAGAGCCCAGAGACCTTAGTAAGGAATGGTACTGGGGGGAACCTCTCAAAGTTTCCACTTTTTCTTTCAAAGCTTCCAGCCTACAGACAGTCTCTAGTCTATGCTAGTATGACTAGAAAGCCATTATTTTTTAGCCAAGCCAGGGGGATCAAGATAGGCAAGGACAGAAAATCTTAAATTCTGCCTATAGCCCAGGCCCAAACTGCTGGCTGACAGCTGACCTGTATGCATGGGACAGAATTCAAGCAGCCACGCCAATGACAAAGAATGTGAACTGTCATGGCAGGTGCTAGCCAGGGTAGCATTCACATTGTGTTCAATCAAGTCACCTATTCTTTAAAAAATAAAATTAAAGCACTTCAGAATATAAAAAATAATCCCGCGTCTCTATAATAGAACATTAGCAACGTATAGAATCAATCCAGAAATTACATGACACACGCAGGAAAATGTGAGCCACTGTTAACCAGTGGAAATGCAAATCAAAACCACAATGAGCTATCACCTCACACATGTGAGAATGCTCCTACAGTGTAGACTGGTCCAGCCCCTACAGAAGACAGTTTGGAAGTTTCTCAAAATATTAAAAATAGATCTATCATATGATCCAGCAATCCCGCTCTTAGCTATCTCCCCAGAGAATGCAAAAGCACTAAATCAAACAAATGTATGCACTCTTGGGCCTTCCCTGGTGGCTCAGCACTGTGAAGCTGTCAGCAGCCCCAGCCAGAGAGGCGACTCACATGGCACAGCAACCTCTCCTGTCTAACCCGCTGCTCACCTCAGCAGTGTATTTCAGTTAATCTGCCTGCTCTGTTCCCCACTGACTCAAGTGAATCCTCTCACCACCCCCACACCTCTGGCCTGTACCCCAGTTCTGTATG